AATGGGGTTCGAAAACCATGGAATCTAGGAGGAGGGAAAGAAAGAAGAAAGAAGGGATTGACATGTATTTCTCTGGCGTTGGACGGTATCTGATTTCCAAAGTGCTTTGCTTGGTTTGGCTTTCCCACATGGCTCTATATCCCAAATCCCGCGATCGCCATGCTCGTATAATACGGCATCGGATTGGAGTTTGTATGTACAGACACAAGAGGATTCAACGAAGAAGGCAAGAGAGAAACCGAAAAGAACGGGCAACCTTTTTAACTTAACTCACGTCTTTATTGTGAAATATGTATATCTTCATTAGACCGTAAATCTCCTGTCCACGCTCACGGGGTATACATGTATAAGGCTCAAAGTCTCTTAGCTCTAAAGCGCCATGCAAACAATCGAAATCACTTCCCTCGGCGTCTAAGTAACGCCGCGCACAACAGGCCAAGGGCCAAGATAAAGGCCAGCCCTCCTAGGCCTAGGCCAAAGTATTGCGCATCTCGATATCCTCCTAAAGGGTCCTTATCACCGGTCTTCCCCATTTCCACAGCTCCGGCCATTCCCAGCCCTACTGAAAAGGCGAAAGCTGCTGCTGTATTGGTGATGCTGTTTGCGAGCCCCAGTTGTCCCTCTGCCACATCTCGTCCGAGGACAGTCGAGGAAGCGGGAACAATCGACACCATGCCAACTCCCATGAAGATGGTGCTGACAAAGGAGTTGGCCCAATATGCCTGTTGAGTTGGGGCTGACGCCAGGAGGGCCGAACTACTCAGAATGGCGATTGATGAGACCACCATGCTCAACTGTGCTGTGAAATCGCGGTTTACGAAGGGCCAGCATCCAAAGGCGATAATAACGCCAACCACTAGTACTGGCACAAGAGCAGCACTCGTGAGAAGGGGACCCCAACCTCTGACAACTTCGATAAATTGTACGAAATACCATGCCCAGACTCCAAACGCTGCTGATGCAGCAGTCACGAAACCAAGTGTAATACCAGCAGCCAGGTGAATCTGCTTAAATGGCACTAAAGGGTGACTGGCCTGCGATTCGAAGAAAGTGAATAGTGGTATAAGTATGATGCCTGCAATGATCAGGATGTACGCCTGGGGAGTATCCCATCCAACATTGGGCGCCTGGTTCCAGCCAACGCTGAAAAAGATCAAGGCAGCGATCCCAAATACGAAACCCAATATATCTAAACGCTTCCACAGGTTGCCTTCGAAATTGTAGACCAAGATTCTCTTTACTGGGATGACAAGCACGCTTGAAATACCTAGGGCTGTGCATACCGCGGCCAAACAGTAAAAGGCCCACGGCCACGAGGCGTAATTAGCAAACAAGCCTGTCATGACCGATCCAATGACAAATCCGAAAGGGACAGAGGCATCGAAGAATCCCATCACGAGCATCTTGCGAGGCCCAGGAGGATAAGCCCTCACCAGCATTCCATGTCCATTTGGAGTAATGAGTGCAGGGCCAATGCCTTGCATAGCTCGGCAGAAGCAGAAGAAGATGGCACCTCCATTTTCACTCGTCTGTACATACACGCTGAGACCAGCAAACAAACTCCAAAGTGCGAACCACATATACCCAGCGATGAAGGTATATCTTTGGCCGCAGACGTTCCCGATCCAGTTGCCAAAAAGAGTAGTCGCGCCATAACTCAACGCATACGCTGATGTGAACCAAGCAAGGTGTGTTGTACGCTCTGGTTCGAAGAATGACTCTCCAATTCGTCGTGCAGACGTCAGTGTCTGTGCAAGACTGGCATATGTTAGAACCTGTGCCATACATATGACAGCAACAAAAAGGCTTTCGTTGGTGGCATGGTTGAATTCGATCATCCTGGCCCCCTCGTTCAGGGGTTTCCTTCGCAAACCCTGGCTTGCGGGTGAAGAAGGGTCTATGTCGGATCCCGCACGAATGTGGGTGATTGTGCCTAACGGGAGAGATCGTGTACCCATATCAGGCCTCAGGGCTATGTATTGGTGATGCTGTGTTGTTCCTCGGAAGGCTTCGAAGCGTCTGGCAGCTTGGACAAGTCCGCCATGGTTGACCGAAAAGTCCGATGGCGTTGGACCTGTGGTGTAAGCAGGAGTTTCATTTGAGCGAGGCTCGGCCAGGTTTACTGGAACGCTGAATCGTGGAGGTGGTGTATGAGGTATATCTAAACGCGGTGGTAAGTTTGGTGTTGCCAGGCGAATCAAGTCTTCAGAGACTTGTGCTAGAGTCTCTGTCATTTCCGATTCCATGTCGGCGTCAAGGAGAGAATCTGTCTCGGCATTTGGAGGTCGCCCTGGCATAAGTGATATAGGTAAATAGTTGCCTCGATGCGGTGAAACGGGTGAAACAGTCATCTCTGATACACTCATCTGGCTCACTAGGTCCATATCTAGCAAATTCACATTCTGGGATATGTCACTGACGCTTGAAGGACTTCGGGTATGAGAATGAGAGTATAGCTGAGAATTGGAACGCGAGTGAGAGTAATCTCCAGGCTGAGAGTGAGAATTGAGGTTTGTGTAAGTGGGAGCCGGTGCTGCTGGAGAGTAACCACCATATTGTTGTTGATAATGATGACGAAAAGATTCCGTGACGGCGATCATGGTATCGGTGACATGTTGAACGGCAGAGTTGGATCGATTTATTTCTCGACGGGCCTCAGACTTTTCAGAGTCTTATCGTGATACGTTCCGAAGCGGCTCCATTGTGAAGTTGGTGATAAGTCAGCAACGCCAGTGTAGCAATAGTCGCCCCTCATGTCCTCGTTTGTAGATGTTCTGGTAGTCGATTATGGTTTAAAGGTGGTAGGAGGATGTTATTGGTCAATAAAGCAGATGATCAAGGCTGCAGAACCATCGTAACTGAATCAGAAATCTAGCAATCGAGATATAGTCAGGGACGCTTGGGGTTTTAGTCAATGGGAAAGGCTGCGCTTACAGCTTACAAGGAGGGTAATAACCCATGCCTCAAGCTGTATGTAGGCATGTCGGCTCATAGAATGGAAGCTGATCCATACCACTCCGTAAGCCTTCACGACTGGCTCGCCCCCGCAACTAAGCTTAGCTTTTAAGGCTCAGACTCTGGTTCAGGGTCCGGAGGTTTAGGACCTGACACTTCCACGTCTTGGCCCAACCGTTAGTTTTTGAACCGAGATGAGGGTGGGTAGTGTAGTGTATGGGTGAGCCAGAAATAGAATCATTGATCTTGTATCCGTAAGTCGTCACAAACTGTAGGAGAAAGAGACTTTCGCATCTGTGAGGATTCTTGTTGGTAGTGATCTGCTTGTCTCGATAATTCGTCCTCCTTTTGGTAACGTCTGACTCGCATCACAAGGTTCTGCGTTCGCATTGAACAAAGCTCAACTGGGGCGGGCAGTTCAGAAAGTCGGTGATGCATTGACACAGGCGGCGGTTACAAGGGTTCCTGTAAGAGTCTGGTTGGTCTATCGATCACGATCTTGTTGGTGATGATGGAGAAATGAAAATAGTGGTGTTGGTGATACAGTACCTTGCGGAAGGCACTTCTGTTCAAAGCGGCTACGACCAACACTACCTAAGTACCTAGGTAGGTAGGTAGGTACCTAGGACGATCATCAATACAGCAAGAGGCAGTCTAGGTAGGTCTACCACTCCTACTGTCCCCAAATTGCCTGTTATTCTCCCTCTTATTCCCTCAGTGCAGTGTTACAGTATCTGATCATCGGTGTAACCAAACCCCCAATTGGGTGGTATGCTTCTCATGTCCCGACGGGTCAGATCCCCCCATCCTTGTCTATCATCAACAGCGCAGCCACCCGTCACTCTCTGGAGCTTGTCTACCTAGCTAGCCTGTCTAGCCTGTCAGTTAGTCCTAGCCTAGGATCCTTCAGAAGCACAGCCTCAACATATCACAAACCATGTCTTACCCTGAACATGTTCTTTGGACCTTGAGCTTCTAGCTCCAACGCCTCTGACAGCATGTTTCAGATAGAGATTGTGTTGATTGGTCTGTATCAAGTTGGTGAAGACTCAGACTTCCCATCGTTCTGGTCTTTTTGTGAGACATGTTCTGTGATTTACTCAATTGCCTCCACTTCGTGAAGATCTTCTCCGCAATCTCGGCCTCTCAGTTTTATTCAGTACCGGGAATTCGGCAACCAAGCCTCATCATGGTTTGTCGATCCACTCATCGCAGAGCCTCAGATTGTGCGTAGGCCTCACGTATAGCTCTATTTTTGGTCATATGGTCATACTCGGCTTTCCCATGCCTAGGTACTCATTACATCTAGCAAAAGAGTATTTGGGAGCACATCCAAGTCTTTCTCGAACCTTGTACTGGTTGATACTTGGAGACGATCAACAGGAGATATGAATTAATGGTTTAACTTCAAATCCTGTTGGATTCCGAATATCCACTCACTTAAGCGAGATTCACTGCCTCAAACCCTTGAATGAGAGACAGGCCTACAGCAGGCACTCTGTTTCTTCGTCGTGAAATGGACCTCATCATTGAGAGCCATGCGTCCGTATCACGACCAATCGACCGTCACATTTTTATCTACCTAGTGTAATGTGACATCAAGCCTGCCACGCCACACGAACATATCATAATTGATACTATGGCGTAACTCGATATGGCCATGTACTCTGCATCTATCCACATTGTGGCGCTTATGAAGAAACCGATTCAAAGTTGCCACATAAAATGCAAGCAGCAAGATAAGGAATGTTTGGGTATCATGAACTACCATTGTTTCAATAAGCTGCGTGAATCATGTCCTGTCCAAGCCCCCAACCCCCAAATAGAAATGTCTCCGACCGTAGTGCGCTTAACCCCTTTTATCACTGATATTTGTCCTTGCGAACTTCCTGTTGAACCTCCTAATCGATCCTGCGGAACCCTCCAGTGATGATGGCAAACGCATGCTCAGGTCCAGACTACATGACCTCTACCCCCCCGCCCAATTTTTCAGTGCAATTACACCGAGCCAACGTACCATGTTAAATAATAATATCGGCTATAGTTTAAGGCTTGGGGATGCGGATGGTCTTACTGGTCATGAGGCAGCCGTGGATCATGAACAGAATTACGGCAGGATGGAACTCGAAAGCCGAACCCTGGAACCAGACACCAAAGGGAAGATTGTCATGCACCCAGCGCTGCGAGAGCCAATAGGCCATGATGGCGTCCATGCCGAGCGAAGTAGGAATGGGAGTTCCTTCAAAATACTGGCTCTTGCCAGTGGCGTCCTTTGGAAGAACCGAAACGGTAACATTAAAGCGGGCGAGGCGAGTGAGGCCACACAGAACGAAGAAGGTAAGACCAACAGTGTCGACCAGCGAGCGGAAACCAAGAGTGAAGGCGACCATAGCGGGAGCAACGCCGAAGGAGATCTGACAAGTATTGCTATCAGTGACCATAGTGATTGATAATGCGTAGAATGAGACATACCAAATCAGCAAGAGAATCCAATTCTTGGCCCATGAGGCTGCTCTTCTTCCTCCATCGAGCAACCTTGCCGTCGAAAAAGTCGAAGAACAGACCAAAAGGCAGGAAGAAGAGGGCAAGCCAGAGGTTGTCAAAATCCTTGGGGTCACCCAGTGCGTATCGTAGCGAGGAGAAGATAGACATGACACCGCAGGCACCTGTGAGGACGCTGGAGTTAGCAAACAATGTCATTTTGTTGAAGAACGAAGCATGTCAAATGCGATGGTCTCTGTGGTCAAGGTGTACATACCATTCATGAGAGTAATCAAGTCGGCAAGGTGCATGGCCCGCACGAGAGAGAAGTGGCCAACATCAGCAGAAAGAAGAGTCTTTTGCTTGTCAATTGCTATAAATAAGATCAATGTCAGTTCTAGAAAGCAAAAGTCGCTTAATTGTTTCATCATTGGCTAAAGCTTACCTGGGCTATTGGAGGATGTGACGTCCTTGGGGATGTTTCCATTGGAGCCCGACATGGTGTTGCTCCTTCTAGACATTCTACGGCGATTCCAACGACTTTTGGTTGATGCAAGGGTTGGCGAAGTCGGACGGTACGAGAGGTCGACCTCAGTAGTGTTCTGTACAGGAATACTAGAAAAGGACAATCGTACTAAGCTTCGCGGTGGCAGGAAAGCGGTGTCGATAGATGCGAAAGGAGAATGTTCAAAGCGAGCAAGAATACTAGCAATGCGAAGTTGAGCGGTATTCAGCGGTTCAGAATTTGTTGTGTTTTTGGTGGTTTTGTGAAGTTGCAGAAGGGTAAACAGAGCAGGTTTTCCACAAGTGGTTGACGTTGACGTTGACGTTGAGGACGTCGCGTTTACTGCTTTCGCCGCGGGATGTCCTGCTTTCCTTGCTTGGGTGGATGCCGTCATTGTGGGCGCTAGTGCTGGCCAGCTGCACGTGATGGCAATGGCTTAGACGCTCATAAGTGACTAGATTAGTAGGTAGCCATTAACAGTTCGTCACACGGAAAGGTCAAGACGGTTTATTCATGGTCACATTCGCATCTGCATTGGATCTTTATAAATCTAGGTATATCTTACGTACTAACATCCAGAGTAGGTACGTCAGATTGGTACAGGATCTCTAATGTCACCAAGTTGATCAACCGCTTAACAAATTCTGGGGTAGTGTACGTATCACATGTCAGATTCATATCGTATTCGCACAAGCTCGCTCGCTCACCGTCAGAACATTAAGCGAAGTTAGATGAAACCTATGAGAGTTAGTACACACACACAAATGTTCTACTGTGTAGACACCTGTAGAGAATGACCGGATGGCACACAGGGCGCGGTAAAGACTTCAAGATCAGGCATCCCCAGCGGTGTTTATTCAGGTCCACGTCTTCTCATGGTATACTGTGTATGCGTTACCTCCTAACTTAATATGCAAGGGTGTATGTATGTAATGTGTGTAGCCTCCTTTCAGAGGTGGTAAACAAAAGAAAACTACCCCCAACGCCGGTATCAGATAAAAGTCCCAAACAATGCTTGCGGTATTTGCCTGGCCGCTGTAAGGCAGGTTGGGCGTGTCATGACACGCAACTATGTGTGCGCGTCTCTCCCATGCTTCATAATTAACAATTAATGTTTATCCATGGACGGCTGATTGTTATCCTGTAGAATGAGTGTGCAAAAATCTGGACATGGTGTGGTTTGCTCCTGCTCATCGCGTGATGAGAACCGAGAAGCCATCTAACCATTGGCCACAGGAGCCAGAAACACCACAGATGATGTATCCTCGAGGAGGTATCAGAGTGTGCCTGGTGACTAGGGTCAGCTAAGTTCGCAGCGACACAACAATATAACTTACGCATCTCCACCATGAGCATTTCCATAAACGGGCGACTTGCGACCCAAACTCGTCAGAATTTGTATACCATCGATCCAAAAACCACATCGCACGACGAAGCCACTGATGTATTCACCACGACGAACATCTACGTCTCCTGTTAGATTCTTTTCGGTCCATCGATGAGTAAGAACTTACCAAACTCGAAGGTATCCCCCCCTTCTTTGCCGCCCTCCTTTCCAAACAACTGCCTGGAATCATCGTCATAAATGAATTCCATTCCGTCCACGGCCATACCGTGATAAATCACCACACGGGAGAGAACTCGGTCCTGCTTGACAGCACTCGTAAACATGGCTTCCGTAGGCTGGCTTCCATCCATCTTAGAGCTACCCAGCTTCTGGCTTCGGAAAGCACTCTTCCCGTTCGGTAACTTAATGAGAGACTCCTTCGAGGTAAACTTTTTGTAATCATCAATATCAAGTGATCCTCCACCGTAAGACTTGACTGATATTTTGAGAGATCCCTTGCTCTTCTTCTCAGACAGTCTGCCCCGCAGCTCGCTCTCGCAGAGCGTAATTTGCCGGGAGGGCGTCCCTTGATCAGTGGGATACTCGATCCAAGCATGACAGACATCGTCACCGTCTGCATAAATCTCAACAAAGAAGATTCCTGTGGCCGCCATAACAAGTACATTGCCATTTTCGACAGGGAAGGCTTGAACACTGCCGTCAGGGCTCATCGGGGGGTCATTGGGAAGGCGGAAAGCCGGATGAGCTCGGAAACGCAAACAGTCGAGGCGGTGCCATCCACATTCGTCGGCCTGGAGTGCGAGACCACCTTTGGATTTGGTCCTTGTACAGTAGGCCTCTCGAGCTACGAATGTGCGGTTGAGCACCACGTAATCTCGCAGCATTACACCACTCTCCTGATGGGGGCATCCAAACAGATGGCCTGTCTCATGCATATGAGCACCAATACCGATATTGGCAGCCTCCCAAGAACTGCCCGCTTCGTTGCAGTCATTAGCGACATGATTTGTATCCGTTGGAGTACAGTCAGTGAAAGCAGGCACAACCTCTTCGAAAGTGGAAGGGTAACTGTGAATGCAGTGAGATCCAAAAATGGCGAGTTGGAGATCACCGTCCCCTCCTCCAAGAGCGGCATGGCCGGTCACGGTCTTTGCTGTCGTATCCCAATGAGAATCCAAGAGAAGACAAGACACGTATAACTTTTGCCCTGGCAGCGGGTTGAAGTATTTCTTGACAGCCTCTGAAGCGATCCCATACAAAGCACCCTTATCGGTCGCCTTCTCGTTTTGCTGAGCCTTGTTAAGATCTCGAATCTCAGCAAGGGTCTTGTTGGAGCGGATAATATGCACACGGGCTTCGGAGCGCATTGTGCCGTTCTCTTGGTCACGATAATTGGCCGAGCCTGTTGTCCATTCTTCATCAAAGCGGAAGGCCCGTCGGCCAAGCTTGTTCCGCCACATCTGTTCCGATGTGAAGGCCTGCCACAGGTACGCTGCCATCCTGAACTTCTTCACGGCCATTTCCAGTCCATTTCCTTCCTTTTCGGCTCGGGCGGGCGAGGCATCGAATGTTTCGGGAGAGTCCTTTGCAACGAGTATCGCAAGCTGCAAAGGTGGTGAATTGGTAACGGGTAGCATATGAACAGTAAGGTAGGAAGCATGTATTGGGTTGGAGCTGTTGCTATTGGCAAGTTTCGGGCTTGAGAACTCGAAGCGCAATCTGTTGGGACCTGGTTGAAGGTACACCAGTGCTTTGAAATGCGAGTTGCAAACGGGCCAGCTGATTGCGGGGAAGTTGTCGTCGAGTCGGCAAACATTAAGGGTGCCATCGAGGGGTTTCTCGGCGGCATTTCCGATTGTGCCATAAACAAGGAGAACTTTTTGATAGACCTGGTGTGGTTAGCACAACACTTCAACTTCTTTAGCGGTATGTTTGTTGGAAGTTTTGGCGCAGCTTTTGTGCCAATTAACCCCTGACGATATGGCTTGCATTTGCATGCGCGCCACAAAACCCACTAGCCATAGAAACAATTCAAAAGCAAAACACCAAGACATACCCATGCATTTTCAGTGATGTTGATAACTCTCGGGGCGTATGGTGACACTGGAAGGGTCTGTCTTCCATTGACAGAAGGCGCACCAAGACCCGACATTCCGGAAACACTGTTGCGGTTGGAGTTGGACGATAGCAGCGGTCGCGTGGGGATGTCGAGTTGGCTCTGGCTCTGGGACATTTGCGACTGTCGACGCTGGAGTTGCTGTTGATCTTTTACCTGCAGATGAAGTGCGGGATCTGACTGGTGATCAATCGAAGGCGGCGTTAAGGAACCGCTTGAGGGCGATGTTGCTTGACTTGTAGCACCATCACTGGATGTGTCGGTTGATCGATTGGTACGGAAACTGGCCCTCGATCGGCGGCGCAGGTTGTTGAGGAAGGTCGGGGCCATTGTCGCAGGCGACTAGGACCTGCCTTTTCCAAGATGTATCCAAATAAGAGTCAAAGTTGTATGACAATTGCGTCGCGGGCAAGCGAGAGATGGACCAAGAAACCAAAGGAAAATCGACAGAAAAGTGACCGAGGGAGAGACCGATATTCAAGTATCCAAGAAACCCGTGGTCGACAGAGTAAGAGAGGAGAGCGCTCGTATTGCAAGTCTGGAGGAACGAATGGGGTGGTAGTTTAGATGAATGAGGTGGAGTGAGATCCCGATGGGGGGCGTAACAAGAATAGAAGCAGTGGAAGCTGTCAGTCAGTGGTCGACAGTTAACAGTTGACAGTTGACAGTTGACAGTTGGCTTGACTTCCTCTTGGTCGATCAAGGAAAAGGACGGGAAGGAGGAAGGAAAGGCGCAAAATTTTAGAGACTGAGAGATGAGAACCTGATATGAGAGGGAGGTGGTTTCTTGAAGGACTGACTAACAGAGAAATAACATGGAAATGAATTAAATGGAAATCCACTGTTTCGTTTCCCAGGATCTTCTTCACTGCCTTGGAAAAGATAACCCTCAAATGTCCCCTTCCACCCCTGTTCAACGGAGAACGGAGAAGGATGGATATCTTATTAGGATCCTAGACACTCATCGAGTGATGACAGATGACGGAAGATGTTCTGTATGGCCGGACTGCACGAAAAGACGGCCACAACCGATCCAAAGACGTGCAAAAAGTGGCTGGTGCTGCTAATGCACTCGCCGAGAACGAGGATGTGCTCAAGCTTGGGCCGGGGGATCCGCTGGAATTGGTGGGTTGCAGCGATGCGATTTATTATTGCGGCCGTTGCAAGCGTGCTCAACCAGATGGTGGCTTGCCGTGAGCGAGAGAGAGAGAGAGAGAGAGAGAGAGAGAGAGATTGAATCACTCGGGGGATGGAAGACGGAAGACGGCAGTAATGGAATGAATGACATGATAGCCCACGGGAACATTGAGACATTACACTCCTCTCACAGTGTCTGTCTAGGTATCTCTGTTGATCAATTCAGGTCGATCCAGTATCAAAATGTCCCAGACTCATCCCTGTAAGCTTATGGGCAGGCCACAGATGGGCCAAGCCTCACAACGTGTCGAGTTGAAAGCGATCGTGATCTATGTGGGCTTGAGCGAGGCCCAACTTGCATACAACAACAAGTTCAGTGGGGTTTGATATTGAATTCAACCAGCCGCATCTAGCAGGAACTCAACCTCTGAGGTGATCCCAGGCGCTAGAGCACCTAATGGTAGCTCTTGGCCAGCATCCAATGTCTTCGTTCAGGCACTGGTGTTCATCAACTTTGCTAGCAATCGTAGCATTCGGCTAATATCCACCGCGCAATCCTTTTGATAATATAATACAGCAGAAGTCGCTGCTATTTTGAAATTATCAACCCTCAACTTCGATGACGTCGAGATAATGGTCCATACAGCCCCTGCCTTGTCTAACTTAGGTACCTAGGCGGGACCATCCCGTGCAGCCGCCGATAGTAGACCATCCAACGAAATTGCGTTCTCATTCAAGATACCACGTTAAACATAAAGACTGTTGTTGGTGAGCGTTTCCAGGGGATGAGCCA